CTCCTCCCTGCACAGCTCTCCGCTCTACCCCTTTTCCATCAGCTGCTGCTCAACCATATACATATATACCTGTGTGCTTATATATGGACCGTTCGTTCCCCTTCCTCCTTCCCTCGCGTGCAATATTTTTGCCGTGCATAACGCGCGTGCACTCTTTTTCCCGCAACTCCACTCTTCTTGCATATCATACGATGATTGGGATGGTTATTCTCTGCTCCGCCGCGCTCCTAATATCATCTGTGTACCCCCTTCCCTCCCCACCCCCCGCACACCTAATAAATATTTATACGCCCCGGCGTTTCCTCTTTCGTCTTCTCTCGAAATAAAAGAGGTTCTTTTTTTTCTTTTTTTTTTTTGCTTTTCGCAATCTATACGTATACGTATATTATACGTGCCTTCGACACAACATTGATTTCCTCCTCTCGTTTCGCCGAATGGTGATGGTGTTTCCGAAACCGGAATTCATTGCTATGTATATATGCATCCGACTTTATTCAGTTCCGCCTGTATATACATATATATATGTCTTTCACAAACGCAAACTTGGGAGCTTTTGCGCCTATTTGAGCTTAGCCGCGATTCAAGCGTTTAGTTGTGTAGTTGACCATTTTTCTTTTTTATGTACAAACTGCGTTGCGATGTACGAGTGTTGATAAGAACGACAAAATTGATGCTTCAGCTACGATCGCCTATACTCCATTGAACCGAGCAATTGTTTTTCTACGACGATTCACTCAAAAAGGCTGGGTTTTTTTTTAACTTTCAGTTTTTTCGCTCTATTACGTTGATTTTTCTCTTAAAAATTGTCCACATCGGTAGAACTGGTTAAATACTTGGATGGCACCATGGATTAAATTATTCTTAAAATTCTTAACTTGGATTTCCATTCAAAGTGAGATACAGAATGCGAGGGTAATCGATTGAATACACTCTTTGTGCCCAGAGAAATTTGATAAGACAAAAATTATAAACAGTAGCAATTGAAATATGTATAACAAAAAAAAAAAGGCGAGGAAGGGCGGAAAGCGCAAAATCACCAAACAGCTCCAAATATCCAAATATAATCAAGTATTTACGCGTTCATCATTGTGTTTTCTTCTGTGCTTCCGTTGAGATATATATATACATACTCGACAGAGTAAGTGATAACAGAGAGCGATACATCCATACAATACATAAGTACGAGAGAGAAAGAGATAGAGTGAGTGAGAGGGACGGCGGCGCCTGTATAACATGTATATACAACGCTCGTGCATAACGCTGATGCACTCACTTTCTCCGCTGCATCAGCTCCTCCCCATCTCCCTTTGTACATATACGTATACTTAATATATATATATTTATACACATTCTGTATACGTCTGATGCCCGTGTCTCTCGTTCTCTCCCTTTGTCTCCTCATCCGCTCTCCCGCCCTCTCTATATACACTCACAGCCCTTTCCCGCGGAATCTGAGCTAAAAAGCATCGCACCGGAGAAGCTAGTAGCGCATTATCTAGGTCTAGGTCTAGGTCTAGCCAGGCGTATACATTATGTATATATATATATATATATACATGTGCTTTTTGCCGCTTTACGGGAGAGCTTGCGAGCGAGCGTCTATATACATATATATAGGCATGCACTTGCAGTGCGCTTCCACTGTCGCGAACCCCATAAGTATAAGCTATAGGTGTCATGGAAACCCATTGTCTGGCCCACGAAAAACAGTGACCCATACACTCTCGATGATTAGTCCTCGATATCGTTAATTCGAACCACAGTTTCCACCCCCCCCCCTTATGCTCGTGAAATTTCGTATCGCGCATCTATCATGTATCTCCATCTCCGGAGTGCATCAGCCGGGACCAACACATGCTATATGGCACAGGGGTCTATTTATAGTCCGTCGCGTCCACCACCAGCTCTCCCCCTTTCCTTGCCATTCTCCGTGATATTCTTGTTTCTTTCTTTAACCCTCCCACCCCCCCCCCTGTAGCATCCCGTGATGCGGAAAAACGAGCGAATTCTACTGCCAGCCTGTATATATGTATATAATACGTATAATGCAGGGAAGCTGCAGAGAAATGAAGAGGCTCGGTTGATATGCCTGCCACTATACCTAATATACACATGCGTGTATACGTATACAAGAAAAGGAAGCGGTTGAGCTGCAAAAACAGGAAAAGTGATGCTGGGGAGCCGGTTGCGCGGACTCTCTGCAGCAAAAGTAGCTTAAGCCGATATATACGCAGGCGCGCCTATACATACCAACTTTAACATTTATGTGTGCGAGTGTACAGTGTCCAATGTTTGCTGGATATATATGCTCATCAATGATTATTCGCACCTGCTCCGTGTATACATCATATTGTATATGTATATATTATATATATATAGTCGTGTGGATGTGTAAATAATATATAAATAATATATATATAAGAGGCGCTCGACGTTGGGAGAGAAGAAGAAGAGGAGGAGGAGGAGGAGGAAAAGGAGGAACTACTGGAGGAAGGGGGTTAGTGCACGCATAGCTGCGCTATACATGTATATAAATGCCGTCGCTGACGATGGCCAAAGGGGGCGGGGTGCGCGCGGTGAAGAGGGGGGGGGAGCAACGGGGTGAATTGCCGGCGACAAGGTCACGCAGCGGCGCAGCTCTAGAGTTTCATACATGCATGTATGCATATATATATATATATATATGTATATATATACACGTGCACATAAAAACGATTCGTGTCGAGTGTTCCGCCCGTCGTGCATGCATATACATGTGCCGAGTGCATAATTATATTATGTATATACCTATTATACGCTCGACTCGGCGACACTTGCACACACGTTGTAGGTACATATACATATATATGGGCGATGAAAAACAAAGAAAGAAAGAAAAAAAAAAAAAGTACAAGTCATACGTATAGAAGTTCCGAATTACCGTAGGGAGCTTTTTTTGAGCTTTCATTCTTTTTCTCTCCGGATATCCTTCGATACTTCGATCAATCACTTTTTCCACTATGTAGACTCGCGATGGATGAATTTCGTCATGAGCCAAAAATTATACGCGCGTAAGGAAAACTCGTTGGGCTTTTGATGGCGAAATGAAAAAAAAAAAAAGTGTGTGCAATTTTCGCATGTATATAATAATATACATCCGCATGCTCGTGTACCTATTATAATAATATACAAAATGTACTGCAATACGCATACGCACATTATCAGCCAATCCACTGCGTGGCTTTATTTAGCGAAAGTGAGAGAGAGAGAGAGAGAGAGAGGTAGGGATGAGTGAAATTGTGTGGAAGTGAGGAGGAGGCAAAGAGGGAGAGAGAAAGAGCAGCGAGAGACCTTGAACCGCTCGGGAGCAGTTTATTCGCTCATTGAAGATGTGTGTACACACGTATACGTATAGAGCAGCGGCTGCAGCAGCGTCCGGATGTCCGTGTGCCAGTTGAGAACCGTCTCTCTCGGAAATTCGCGATATAGCCAATCGTAGGGAGGAAAAGGGCGCATGCATGACAGCAGCTATAAGGGGGGGGGGAACTTGCACTTCACTCTCTCTGATGCAGCACCGGCCGAGACGACTATACACGAGGATAAAGTATATATATATATACCTATCAGCAGGAGCTAGGAGTCAGCTCTCCTCTTTCCGCGGTCCGGGGCGCATACACAGGGGCAGAGACCCAGGAAGGACGCGCTTCTCCTGTACATTATATATACTGTACATCTCCACTACCCACCAAGTGTACACCTATGTATAACCACATACATACGTGTATGGTATATTGTGCCTCTACGCTGCACACGCAACACACACAAAAAGCCCGGACCTTCGTTTGTATCCCCCTCCGGCCCTCTTTCTTACTCTTCTTCTTCTTCTTCTTCCTCTTCTTTGCTCGTGTCTTTTTTTTCCCTCTTCCTCTTTTCCTCCTCTTCCTTTGCTCCTTCTGATCTTTTTCCATTCTTGCCTCCTCCTCCCTCCCTCCCTCCCCCCGTGCACGTTTCTTGCCATCGCCACTGCAGTAGCCGAGATATTCGTGGCTTGCATTCCTATATACATGCACACAGCCGGATGCGCTCGCCCTTTACATACATGTACACTCTTAATCGTTGTTTGATATGTTGCAGACTCTCTCTCTCTCTCTCTTATCAATTAATTATTTCCTACGTGCATAAAGTATACCACCCTCATAGCCCGAGCAGCTCTGAATGAGTATCTGCTGCTGCTGATGCTTTGTTGTTTGCTGCACTTGCGGCAAACGCTGTTGCGCTCATCGCTCGAGATTATACTATACCGATTCTTACAATCATTATATACTATACTCGGTAGTTACGGTTTTGTCCAACTTGCGGATCGATCATTGATCGTGGATCATTTTTCTTCACGTTGCACGTCGTTTGGATTTGTTCTCAAAAACGCGAAACTCGTAAAACAAAACACGATCAGTAATTCACGTCCAATGAATACAAATCGCGGGATGAGATTTAAAAAAAAAGGTTACCAAATATCAGGAAAAAAAAAAAAAAAAAAAAAAAAAAGAACGAAACGCGGAATTAACGCGAGACTGAATGAATAAACAAGAAAGAGAGCGGGGCACAACGTCTATACGTATAATATAATATACACGGTATGTATGCCGCATTACCAAATCACGTTATGGCGTAACAACATTTTGCGTATTCACGCTCGATTATACAATCCGACATACTTTTACTCGCGCGCGCGCTCGTTTCGCTTGATGCCCGAGCCCTGGTGGTGTCGAGTCTGCAGGCTTCTCGACATTGTGATGTTGCACGATTAATAACAAGAAGGCACCGACTGACGCTGTATATTATATACATGTATGTACTTGTACTCCGGAATGAGGACATCGGGTGTATATATATATATATACGTGTTACATCGTTGGCGCTCGGTTTCATTTTGTTTATTCGTTTCGCTTTTCCTGTACCCTCGATTGTCCTTTCAAGCTCGACAACTTACGTCCACCAAACTCCAAGCTCCCCTCGAGTTCTCATTTTTCGTCCCACTTTTCCGTGCAAATTCGTCGTGATTGCTTCTTTTCGACCAACCTGACCGAATTCGTCGAGTTGCCGATTTTTCTTCCACTACCGGCTTTTACACCTCTTTCGTTCAATTCGGGTTGAAATCGTCCAAAATAATATTACTCGAGATGCCGATAACAATCGTTGCAGAATAAAAATGCAGAAACCGTTAACCATCAATCGATCGAATAATTTACCGAACCGATATCTGTGACACATCGATCGGTATGATTGTACTTTGTAGTGTAATAAAAGTGTATATACTGAATAGTTAGATACGTGCAAGGGTTTATAACTTACGTGATGGTGCCTGGCGATAGTGGAGATGCTGTAGGTTCGAAGACTGATGGAGCTGATGGTGATGGTGCGGATGATGGTGGTGGTGGTGGTGATGGGGCGGGCCCATAGCCGACGACATGGCGTGTCCAGGATGTGGCTGTTGTTGTTGTTGTTGTTGTTGTTGTTGCTGCTGGTGGTGCTGCTGGTGATGCGGATGCGGCGAGCCACCCCCTCGGTGGTACGGGGTAACCTGTTGATGCGACGGTGGAGGCGGTGCCTGGTGCTGCTGCTGCTGCTGCTGCTGCTGTTGATGCTGGTGATGGTGATGGGGCGGCTGCTGGTGCGGGTGCCCGTGAAACGAGGAGGGCGCCATGAAACCCACGGGCCCGGTATACATGCCCGGACTGTGGGACGCCGACCTGCCCAACACTGGCGGACATTCGTTGCTCATTAGCTTCTCAAATTACACAATGATAACCGATCCCCAATCGATAGGGATTACACCCGATTGACTCACGATTGCACAATGCACGGTATTATTCTTGTTAGCAAAATAAACCAACCTCGTGCTCTTATATAATAATAATAAACAATAATCAGTCGGGGGGGAATTTGTTTCCGATGTATAGGGTTAATTACCTGCCGTGAGTTGAGTGTGATGTGAACCAGCGAGACTCGATTGGGCTGGTCCATTGTTGTTGCTGCTGTTGCTGTTGTTGTTGTGTAGCCTCGCCTTTATTATACTATTGGTATCCTCGTTGCCGCCCGACGACGTGCTCGACTCGACGTCGCTAACACCGCTGTCGGCCGGGCTCGCCGGTAGCGATCCGCTTCCTGTATCACCCACATTTGACAAATTAACACATAAACCTTTTTTTTACGCATAAGTATATACCCGTTATCAAGCACACACCCACGTACTATATACCTTATACACTTATGAAAAAAAAAAAAAAAAAAAAAAAGAGGGTATAATTTTACGTGACCCGCTAAACCTGGGGCTAAGTATTTGCTTCGTATGAGCGCAACTTTGAAATAGTGAATTTCTCAAGCTTTTGGTTAGTCCAAACGTGCACATGAAGTATATTTACCGATACCACTTTCAGGCTGTAACCAAAAGTTAAAAAATAATTTACAATGGGAGCGCTACTTACTAACTTTGCACGTGTACAGCAAATAAAATTAAAAAAAACTCACGAACGCGTGCATTAAATTGTATCGTAGATGTGTATATACAGCATAGGTATGTGCAGGTAGCAGTTGTATTATTTTAATTTATGCAACGTCCGAGAAATTAGTTATGCACGTAAGTCCTTCCCACGGTCTAGACCATCGCTAGAGCCCGACTCTGCTCCTTTCGCACACATTTTTACGAACCCTCCACCTCCTCCTCTCCTTTTTTTTTTTTATTCCCATACTCCTTCTTCTTCTTCTTCTTCTTCCTCGTTTTCTTCGTCTTTATCTCGTTTTCTTCCCCCGAATATATACACCATTACACAATGCGCAGCGACTCCCTGCAACCGTGCGTACCTATACACACATGTATACATGACACATGGTAAAAAGAAAAAAAAAGAGCTGACCAGTCTTCACCGCGCTCCTCTTTTTTTTTTTTTTTTTTTGTGCCCGAGACAACAATCCGGATCATCCATCCCTGCATGCACGCGCAAAGTCGCTCGCAGAGACCTTTTCTCTTTCTCACCCCCAGCAGCGCTTTTGAACACACACACACACACACACACTCACATAGTATACCCTGCACCGGCTCCCTCCCTCCCTCCCTCTCTGTCGCATACACGGGGTCTGCAGCAGAGATTTACTCGAGACACGCGCACGGGTATACTTATATTATACTACAATATAGGTAGGTATACCTGTATGGTGCAAGAGCAAAAGTCGTACGTACCCGGGGTAGTGGTATTTGGTATAGCTGCTGCGGAGTAGGGTGCCTGGGTGGCGAGGTGGCGGGCGTACCCATTTTGCAGTACGAGGCCGTGCTGCTGGTGGCTCTGTAGCTGGTGTTGGGCGTGCGACTGTTGGGACAGGATGCCGTGGAGTAGCCGGGTGCCGGCTATCGAGCCCGGCTCCGTCTTCACCGCGAGGGCCTCCTTGTCCGAGGTTGGGTCGTGCACCTCGTGCTGCGCGAGCTCGCCGGTGTCCACTGAAAACAGGCAAAAGGACGTGGCTGTTTAAAAAATCCATACGACATGGGAGGGGCTGGACATTTCCATCCCTGTGACGCGATTATTCGGATCGCTTCGTAAATACTGCTGATTGTACAATCGTGACACTTTACTTATTAGGTGACCTTATTCGGGCTTTTTAAATCGACTCGTTTGAAAATCACGCTTTGATGGCTCGAGGCGGGAAAAAGGTGTATCTTGAACGTATTGGAGGGGGCTATCTCGAAAAAAAAAAAAAAAATTCGTTTTTTTTTCTTTTTCAACTTTACAGCGTCACCGTATAACTGCGAAAACAAATTGTCATGACTCAAAATAAAACTGTTGTCGTCTTATTGCTTCCGGTGTTATAAAAACTACTCGAAAAACAAGTCATGATTATTTCATGCCTACGTGACCATTTTTTTCTGAATTTCTTGAGAAAAAAAGGGATTTTCCGATACGTAGCCGAATCTCCTTTGAAACGCTTTCTTTTTCCCGAACCGTCGACTTGTACCACTCTTGTAACGATCCCCATTGAGAAATTTAAATCTAAGAATATTTTCAGTGCCAGGTAAAAAAAAGTGAATGATCAATCATATATCGTATAATTTATACGTTTTTATGCTCAGGGCTTACTGTAGTTCCGCCTTTTCTCAGAGACAATGATTTACAATAAACGATTGTATAAGATATTATGGAGTGTACATTGAAAATGTTATCATCGGAAGGCCAAGAAAGAGAAATTCATCGCTTTGTTATCACAATGAAAGTCAATTATAAGTTGGGGATGCTCGACAACAGCACAATACTCAAATGTCTTATGGAATTGTTGTTTCTACTTTCTATAAAAAATGTACTTGCGAAAAAAAAAAAAAAACAAGAATAATGTATTAATTATTGGAAAAAATGAAATAATAATAATGATACACCAATATATATATATAAGTACATCGAACGTGAAACAAGGGGAAAATCCAAAGTGTGTACAATACATATACATAAGAGGAGAGAGAGAATGAGTCTGTTGAGCCGAGCCAGCATACACACGAACATTTGCGCGCAGAGTAGGTATGAGGTATATATACATAGAGAGGAAGTGAAAGCTACGGCAGCGTGCCGCTCTGCTGTCTCTCCTTGACCCACTGCAATGTTTCTACTTTACTTTCAGGCATAGCGCGCAAGTAACGTCGCCGCCACCGCCACCGCCACCACTAACTTCATTAAGCAATTCCTCGAGAGAACAAACAAACACATGTATACGTACAACACACACACACACATTCATACGTACTTACATGTACCTACATTATATTATACATGGTCACACGCGTGTGCGTGAGTAAGCGCGCCCACACACACACACACACACACACACACACATACACACTCATGGTGTATCATGCTCGCGCGCTCTTGCGCAAGACTCGTACACCCTGCCTTTGCTTCCAAAATACTTGGTGCTTGTTGTTGGCGAATTTCGATTGTCAGCGTTGAGAGAGGAGACAAAAAAGAAAAACCAGATTCAGTTTTGGGGAAAAATTTTCCTCGCTACTACTTATGAGTGAGGTACTTCTCAACGACCCACAAATGACTAAACATTTTACATTGGGTCAACCGTTAGTATAGGCGAGCTTTGATTTGTACAGTTGAAGAATAATTCAATGCCCGAAGAAAGTGGGATTGACTCGTGTAAAAGTGTTTCTTCGTTTTTGAAAAGTTAAAGAAGATGTATCTTTTGCGTTAAGTTAAAACAAAAAGATAAAATCCTTTTTTTTACTCCAAAAATGAGATTTTTTTTTTCTTTGATGTTATGGCCAAGAAAGATAATAGTTTGAGTGAATCGACGAGAAATATTGTAAATTTCAATCATTAGAAGTCATTGACTAATATTTGACAAAAAGAAGAGTTGAAATAAAATTTTAGCGATATGAGTGTGTTAATTAATATTAGGAATAAATGTAAATTGTAAGAGTCCCAAATTGGATGTAATAAATCATATTCAGATAGCAAAATTTTACGTTATATCTGAATGTATAAATTATAAATCACGTGTACCGTGTGGGTTACATCGATTAAATCAAAAGATTACTTTTCCAACTCGAATGAAAACAAACTTTATAATATTTAAAAAATATGTATACGAAAAAGTTACAATTATTTCTTTGTTATTTAATAACTCGCTTGTTTCTAATGTTTATTGAAAAAACGATGTTTCCACTTAGGTGGTGCAAAACGCCATTTCATCATAATTATCCCACTGGAATGAAGAATTTTGGACGTGCAGAATCAAGATTTTGAAGCGACTAAAAACTGTGTATTGTGCATACAACCAGGATATTCATCAAGAAAAACTAGTACTGTCGACACAACTAGTGACCAATTAATCGTGTTTTTGTTGGAACAAAGATTTTTCCTTAATTGGAAATCTAATCCTATTACATCTGAAAGTATGCAGTTTCCAAGAAACATCACGATTATTAGACGTGATCGTGAAAACTGGTGAATAATAAATCATCAATAGTATCGTATTGCAAAGTATGGAAGAAAAAAAATTTTATCACACATTATTTTATTTAACTGAAAATTATCATCAGAAAAAAATTATGCAGTCTGAAAAATTCTGGACTTCCTCATATAGTGTACTATTAAATGTTTTACTACCCATCGAACAGTGATTAAACTTTCTCTTTACAAGACAAAAATTTCTATAATAAGCAAAACATTTTTTTTCTTCAAACGCGTTATATGTGAATGTGTGAATGATGTGTAAAATTAGTAAAATTTTAGGATATCCTCTCAACCATTTGTATTCGACAAGGAACTAAAATTCTTTTTGTGTTGAAAATAAAATATAGTTCTTATCAACTAGACAACACACCTACATGAAAGTTTTATTTTTGATTTTTACAGAATGTTGAATTATTTTTTAGTTAAACTACAGAGAAAATTAACACTTGTCAAAAAACTCTTTGATATACATATTAACTAAAACACTTAATTCGTTATCATTCTTTCAAGTATAAGCCAAAAAAACTCCTACAGTAGATATGAAGTTTATTTATTTACAAGTAGTAACTAATGGTTGAAACTATTGCAATATACAAAAAATATATACATAGTTCGATCTATGCAGATAAAAAAAATACGTTAAAGAATGTTGTTGAAAGTTAAACTCTGGCATTATTTGATTATAAAACTATATTAAGTAGTTGTATGAAAATAAAAAATAATTTAAAACGAGTCATTTTTCAAAATTTTGAAATGAGAAAATTTTAGCCCAAGCGAAATTTATAAATTTATAATCGATACCAAGCATTATTGGTTTTTCAAAAATGTGTACATAAAACATTGAATCAAAATAGTTGTATCGTAATTTGAATAAATATTTAAAAGGGTAAGCGTAAATAGAAGCTGAACAGGTTACAAATGTCTAAGTATGTAAAGAAAGGTAATTTAAAGATTTTTAAAAAGCACCAAATAAGTACTGAGGAAGTTTTGTGTCAATCACTTGATATTTTAGCCCATGATTAAGCTCACTGCCACGCGTCAAACATGACTTTAAAATGTATTTTTCGTTGTATACAGTTATTTTCATTCCCTTCCAATTTTCCCAAGAGCAAAAAAAAAAACAATTTGATGGAATGAAATAAAAGTTGAATTGATAATTGATTTCAAAGACCTCACATCCGCCGAATTAGGAAATTTCTTCTTACTCTATTACGGAAACAATCCTAAGGAGATTCCAAGAATTTATTTTACATATGCTAAGACACATCCAGAAATACTTTTTATTTTTATTTTGAATATGAATTGCCGCTTGTATATGATATTAAAACAGAAAGTCTTTTTCGAGGAAAATCCACGGCAAATTCTTACTTGAATGATTTCTATATCTGATAGATTTAAAGTATACAGATTTGATGGACTCTTTATAAGAGTACACGATTTTTTTTCGAGATAAGTCTACAATCATTATTATGCTGTCAATGGAGGAATAAGGATCGGCTTTTGTTATGTTCGAAATAATTTTCGGATTAACAAACATTACATAAGACATTAATATTTTTGAGATATGCTGTGCATCTTTTTTGATAATATTTAACGGAGGAGAGAAAAATGTTGTTACTTTGCCTGTAGATACAAGTAAAAAGCCAGAGACGTAAAGTACCTCAGTTGTAAACTGTTTGTATTTTTATATAATGCCTATTGTCTCCGATAGCTTCGGAATCAACTTCCGAGATAACAGGCAATCTAAGTGTTTGTGTATTTAAAAATCCATTACTCAACACCTGAAAGTCGTCTCAATATCAAGCTGCTGCACTACCAGCAAAAAACATACTTTATTAGTGAATAACTAGTATACTTTTCTATAATACCTATAAATTATACTGTCGATGTATCGTAAGAATAAATAAATAAAAATCAAAATGCCAAATAATTTCGCTGCATTTTAATTCACAAAACAAAATTTGATATCACCCCGACAACAGACTAGCATTTGCAATTATTTTTACACGATTAGATTTCAGCAGCCAAGTAAAAAAAAAAAAAAAAAAAAAAAAAAAAAAAAAAAAAAAAAAAAAAAAAANAAAAAAAAAAAAAAAAAAAAAAAAAAAAAAAAAAAAAAAAAAAAAAAAAAAAAGGAAGAAAAGAAGGAGGAAGGAAGGAAGGGGGCGAAAAACGTCTCGACGCAGCGAGCAAATATATAAATATAAGCAGGCCATTTGAGGAGCCAGTCGCCGTCACTGACCTTGGCTGACCTTGAATTTCCCTCGAATTCGGAGGGAGTGGCGCCATCGGCTTGTCTAGCCGCATCGACCCAAGAGAGAGAGAGACAGCCCCGGGATCAGCGCTATACACCCCATCCGCCCTTCGACCTCCACATACCCCCTGTTTCCCGCTATATACCTCCCTGTTGCGACGACGGGGTTCACTCGAGTGTAATTGCTCGCGAGTGTAATCTACTGCTTTTCTTTCGCTATTATACCTACATGGATGC